AATCTTATAGATCATTTTGTCTTCCTCATTCTGTTTTTTTTTATAATTTCTAAATGCTAACTTTTTTGTTTTTAACTATTTTGGCCACATTTGTGGAGTACCACAGTGGTTTCTTGAATTTTTTGCTTTTACTGACAAGCCTAATGCAATTTTCTGTTGCCTTCAATAGTGCAACTTTTAAATAATCCCATTTTTCTTTGACTCCATTTAAATTGCTCCAGTCTGATAATGACTCCTCTACCCATATTCTAATTTTAGAAAAGTCTGTTTTTCTAAAGTCTAAAACTTTTGTTTTTGTGTGGTGTGACTCAGTCACTGTTCTTATATTAAACCACACTGACTGATGATCACTGGATCCTAAACTTTCACCTACAGTAATATCTGATACCTAATCTCCATTTGTTAACACCAAATCTAGTATGGCCTCTTTACGGGTTGGCTCCTCAACAACTTGTTTTAGAGATAATCCCAGTAGGGAATTTAGAATATGTGTGCTCCTGGCACAAGTAGCTAATTTTGTTTTCCAATTTACATCAGGAAGATTAAAGTCACCCATGATGATAACTTCCCCCTTCATTGTCATTTTAGCTATTTCATCAACTAGTAGATTATCTAACTCTTCAATTTGTCCAGGGGGCCTATAAATCACACCTACACGAGTTACTGTGTGATTACCAAATTTTAACGTAGCCCAAACGGACTCTATGTTTGCCTCACTAACTTTTATTAGGCTAGATTTTATGCTATCCTTCACATACAAGGCCACCCTCCCCCTTTCTTGCCTTCCCTATCTTTCCTATATAAAGAGTACCCTGGTATTGCTATGTCCCAGTCATTTTTCTCATTGTACCATGTCTCAGTAACAGCGACTAAATCTACACTATCAGTTGCCATTATTTCCACAAGTTCATGGATCTTATTCCCTAAACTGCTAGCATTTGTAGACATGACTCTAAGCTTATCATTTTTTAACACACTTGCTACAGGCACCTTCTGTCCTTGTTTTGGGGGAAAATTGGATTGATGTTTTATCACCCTTTTGCCCCCCCCCCCTCCTAGTTTGAAAACATCCTAGCAAAACCTCTGAACTGCTCACTGAGAACATTTGCTCCCTTTTGAGAAAGATGCAAACCATCTTTTTTGTACAGCTTATCTCCATTCCAAACAGAGCTACCATGAGAAATAAAGCCAAATCCTTACTGATCAAATATTTAGTTTAAAAGTTTCATACAGATATTTCTTTCTCTGGCTTCTGTATTTTTTGAAAAAGTGTATTGTGTCCATACATTGTTCATTTGTTAAAACTATAGATTTTATTTTTGTTAAACATAATTTTTTGCTATTACAATTAAATTATGTTAAACCACATTGTATCATATTTGTCTTGCTTCATAACATCAATATCCGTTATAAAACAAGGAAAAGGTGGGCATGGATGGTGAGCTGATTTGGTGGGTGCAATGGGCCACTTGACTGGATTTGCCCCCCAGGACTAAGGATGCTAGCCCTCCCCTGGCGATATGATCCACAGTCCTACATGGGTGCACCACCCACGTCGGGGGTGCCCCACTGAATCGACTGATACCTGCCCGAGGCCCGCAGTGGACGGGAAGTTTCAGATGCGGCCTACTGGGCCTGGAGCCGGGGGGAGGCGGCCGCTCCCCCAGGAGACCTTCGACAGGCTCTGCGAGTACCTCCGAGATGCACTGCACAGGCGTGGAGCAACTTACCACCAAGCAGAGAAAATGGTGGCTGCATGGATCCAACCGGCACATTACAGGCTCATACTGCGCACCTCCAGAGTGGCAGTTCGGCAACGAAGACTACGGCAATCCACAAGGCGGGAAAGGGCACCAAGGCCCTCAAGCACGAGCTTCCACGCACGGCAGAATAAAAGCGAGAAAGCCACCCAAGCGACATAGGATGAGACCATGCTGGAATGGACCCTCAAGCCCCAGCACATCGTGACTCAGCGCCATACAGCCACAGCTGCAAAACCAGAGCTGTGGCTGTGGCTGTGCAAGACCGGAGCAGGCTCCCAGGGCAGAGTCACCACATGCAGGGGCTCCAAAAGAGTCACTCTCATCAGCAACTTCCAGGACTTCCCAATACTGGGCATAGACTGAAGCACCCACCGTACAACCCCACGAGAGCTATGCTACAAATTGCCGGGTGATGTACTATATGTTTTCGTGACTCTGTATTGCCTTATAAAAGTTATGTACAGCCATAGCACTGCCACGTTTATACGGGACTTTATAAGGGACTGAAGGGGTTAAAGCGGAATCTTAATTCTATGTCACATAGCATGGAACACCCCCGGCCATCATGACAGCAAAATACCACAAGGTTACTACCTGTTGCATACCACATGATGCTAGGGCTCCCCTGCCACCAACAGCAACCTCACGCAAAGCAGCTCTTGTCCTAAACTAGACCCCAGTGGTTTACTACACACAGTTAACCATTGTACAGCATACTTTTCTTAAGCCGAGTCATTCTAGCAATGTTTTTTTCTGGCTATATGATAGATTTGGCTGAGAGAACCTTCACTGCTTACTACTTTAATCACTCTTGGCACTCTTGTAAAATTAATGCACTGTTATAACATACCCCATTGTTCTTATTGTTCTGTTACTATTGTGCAAAATTATGCATGCAGACTGCCTTTGGGGTACCACGTGCCTGTATGTTATCCTCGTATGTACTGCAAAAATAAAGAATAAAAAAAAAAAATACACTTAGAATAATAGTTTATATGTGAATGTGCTTATAAAAGCACTTAGATCATATACATATACATATATACAAAATACAGAATCCAGCGCACTCGCTTATTCACTAAACAATGATTTAAAATCTTAGAAAGCTGCTAGGGTAGGACCTGCCAACAATGGGGTACATTGACGGTGTGGCAGGCTTATGCAATATATGATCATATAATGTAACTAAACCCCCATTATTTTTTGCCTAGGTGAGGGTTTTTTAAATAAAACTACTACAATCTCTAAGATTTGAAATCACTGTTTAGTGAATAAGTGAGTGCGCTGGATTCTGTATTTTGTATATTTTGGCCCCAGCAGCACCCTATAATGTACGCATGTTTAGGTGAGTGCAGCCCTCTTGGATTTCTTCATATACATATATATATACATATATGATCTAAGTACTTAAATTTATTTATTTTTACTTTTTTTTTACGTTTACTAACTTTTAAAACTTTTTTACAGGCAGCAGGGGGTCAGCCTGAGAGCTCAAGCAGTCCCCATGCTGGCACTGCATGAGCTGGCTATTCCAGCCATGTGATTGCAAGAACCCGGGATCACATGGCCCTCGAGGGCCGGATCGTACAGAAGGGGGAAGCCTGAGCTCCCAGACAGCCCCTCGGATCGCGACCGCTGGCGTGGTATCGGCAGGGACCTGGTAAGTCCCCTGGACGGCGGAGAAGCCCAAAAAAGGACGGCATAGAACGCCGGCCGCCCTTAAGGAGTTAAACAATATGGTGCAGACAAAACAAATGACAAAAAAACAAACCCCAAATCATAGCTTAACAACATCTATGACAATAAATGTGTTTTTTTTGCCCTAAAGCACCCTTACAAAAATATTAAAATAAAGTTTATGTCTGTAAACCTAGTTATAAGAACTATAAATCGGAACTGTCTGTAAAGATAATCATCACAGGATGGGGCCTGACAGCCAAGATGACCTGTTGTGCTTTCTAAGAGCTCTGGCAATAACAAGCAAAAATAAGCCTTTTCTGATCAATTCAGCATCGACCGCAGCTCTGTGTGCACAGAGGACTGAGCTGCAACAAACGGGGACCACAGGGATGCCCATTCCAGGTTGTTACGCCACGATAATGCTCTGTTTGGCAATGCGGCCTAGTTCTGAGCAGGGCCTGGTGTCTGAGGGAGGCTGCCGCTCCCCTGCATGGGACACGCTCGCAACAGAGAGCCCACAACAGCCCTGCTGCCCCCCCCACCCCCCCTTGAAGCGCCGGGGGTTTCCCAGTCCCTGCTGGGGATACTTACTCCAACATCGCAGAATGAACCCTTGCAGCTGGGAATGTTCTTGAGAGGACGCGATCCTGGGAGAACACGGTGAGTCCAACTGCCTGCCTCACTAAGCAAGCAGACCTCTTCATGAGGCCAGATGCAATCTTTGAAGATTTTGGGAGAAACTGGCCCAACACCAAAAGCAACAAGCCAAATTGAAGCATGATGACAGCTTGCCTCAGAGTTCATGCAGTGTACATAAAATGCAAATTACAGTAGAAATATACCAGTGTGTACACTTCCCCAGTGTGACTCTATTAGAGTAATATTACCATATGATGGACTTGGTTGGTATGATATCTAAAATAACAAAAAAACATAAAACAACATAGTGTAAACTGTACAAAGATATAAAGTGGTAAACAGATATCGAACTCCCACTCACATTCTCCAGAGCTCTGTATATCAGGTTCACAGGTGCCAATACTGGCTAGCGATCTCCCTGGTTCAAGCAGAAGATGCAGATGGGACTCCAGTATATGTATAAAAGTATTTATTGAAAAAATATACATATATAAATATAACACTGCAGGGTATTATGGGGGTGGAACCCAATGTGCACACAATTCATGCAAAGCAAAATCGGAACTCCACTTACCCCCATGAAAAATAACCCAGAGTGAATGAATGAAATATAATCTTTACAACAAATTATACAAATAAACAGCAAGCAGTCATGTTTCGGCAGATAGCCTTCTTCCAATGCTTCTAATGCAACATAAAATGGCTGCTGCGTCTAGTCTCCGGCTCCCTCACAGCCAACCTCACCATTCAACCCCTTATGCCAAACCTCGGATCCACACAGCTGCTGGGATCGCACTATCTCTCTCTGGGCTGGGGATCCAAAAGGGAACACACCCTACAACCTGTCCATATACCCAGAGGGGCTCCCTGGGAACAGAGCTACCAAGGGCCCATGGACCTACCTCACATAGCAGGGGGACCCATGGACACAGGGAAAAGACCCACGTTTCAGCCTGGGCTGGAGGTTCTGTGCGGCCACAACACTACCACTATGGACTCACTCAACAACAGGTGAAATGCCGTTCCCTGTGGAGGCTGCCTAGCATTCAACACGGAGAACTCTTTCTCATGGCCAGGATGTGGTGTTGGCTGAATGGAGGCAGGAGATGCCACTTGCCACTCGAGCAATGCACACTGTTGTGCCATCTGATTATAATTTAAGGTTATATCACCAATACCCAGTGGTATAAATATATATACTTTGTCTAGCATCAACTTTTTATTATGTCTAACCGTATAGTCAATCTACTTAGCCAACTTTACTACTTACTTACTACTTACTTCTTTACTACTAATATATTAACTTACTGTGAATAAGCATGTTTTCTGTAAAAAAAAGTGCCGCATATCGTGATCTTATAAGTTTAAATATTGTCATTATACCTCTTGTCATTACAAAAGCTTGTACTTATCACTGCGCTCCTAAAATAAAGAATAAAAAAAACTAAAATTTTAAAATGATCATCATTGCTAGATACAGATTGAGAAAGATACCTGGGACACCAACATGTCCACGAGCATTCAGGACTGGTGGTCAAAGCGATACATATATTGTAAGAAAGGTATTGTGTTTATAAAGCAGGTGGACAAAGTTCAATAAGCAAGATGTTTAGAGCAAGAGTAAGACAAAGTGTAAGGAGATGAAGAAAGAAAGTGAAAGGAAAGAGAGTGAAAGTGGAAATGGTAACAAGAAGAGAGGCAAACAGCAAAAAGAAAGGAAAACTGTTAATAGAACAAAAATAGCAGAAAATAAGACAGAAAGTGGAAGATAGTGAAGGTGAAAATGGAATGAGATAACAGGAAGGTAAATGAGACAGAAAGTGAAAAAAGGACAAGACGTAATGTGTCTATAGAACAAGGCAGGAAGTGGATGGAGAGTTAGACAGTGAGTCATATAATATGAGCCTGAAAGTGGTAAAAGAACAAGGCAAAACACTGCACGATTCAGACTGTATACTTTGCAATAACCGTAAGTGATATCTAAACTTATATTCAAATTCTGAGTCATGGTGTACATCTTTGAGATCCAGCCACCCAGCAAGCAAACTCCTCACAAACAAACACCTAGCAAGAAAACACATTACAAGCAAACTCCCCACAAGCAAACACAAGCAAACACCTAGCAAGAAAACACATTACAAGCAAACTCCTCACAAGCAAACACATAGCAAAAAAACACATTACAAGCAAACTCCTCTCAAACAAACACCTAGCAAGAAAACACATTACAAGCAAACTCCCCACAAACAAACACCTTGCAAGAAAACACATTAAAGCAAACTCCTCACAAGCAAACACCTAGCAAGAAAACACATTAAAGCAAACTCCTCACAAACAAACACCTAGCAAGAAAACACATTACAAGCAAACTTCTCACAAACACCTAGCAAGAAAACACATTACAAGCAAACTCCTCACAAACACCTAGCAAGAAAACACATTAAAGCAAACTCCTTACAAGCAAACACCTAGCAAAAAAAACACATTAAAGAAAACTCCTCTCAAACAAACACCCAGCAAGAAAACACATTACAAGCAAACTCCTCTCAAACAAACACCTAGCAAGAAAACACATTACAAGCAAACTCCTCACAAGCAAACACCTAGCAAGAAAACACATTACAAGCAAACTCCTTCACAAGCAAACACCTAGCAAGAAAACACATTAAAGCAAACTCCTCACAATCAAACACCTAGCAAGAAAACACATTACAAGCAAACTCCCCACAAGCAAACACCTAGCAAGAAAACACATTACAAGCAAACTCCTCACAAGCAAACACCTAGCAAGAAAACACATTAAAGCAAACTCCTCACAATCAAACACCTAGCAAGAAAACACATTACAAGCAAACTCCTCACAAACAAACACCTAGCAAGAAAACA